GAAAGGATTGTCAATGGCTTGTTGGAATGCAGTTAGTAGTTTTGAGCTGATGGTTTTAAAAACCAAGTAACCATACCTGTGGCATGGTCAGCAAAACAGGCAAAAGCAACTATGCAGTCTCTGAGGCATTGGGCAAATCCATGTTCAGAGCACCTGGAGGTTTGCTTTCCGCCAACGCGCTTTCCATTATTTGACAGAGGGATTAATATTAATGTAACCTCCTACCAGCCAGACAGAAGAGAGAGGAGTCCATTAAGAAGTTGTGTCTAAGTATTTGAAACTGCTACGCAGAGCTGTAAATGGAAAGCCATTTTTCCTTTCCAGAGCTAACGGATAAGATGAATAATGTACTATGAGTAGTCTTGAGAGTTCACTCTGAAGCTTCGCCCTCCTGACACGCAATATGGCATGGCTGGGATGGTTTTGGCTGTCTCGACTTCAGAAGTCCCAAACTTTCAGCAACCCTTGCAAAGAAGAGTAGGAAAAGACAATTGGCTGAATGGTCAAAAGTTCAGCTCCAAAGGTGCTTGACCTTGCATTCCAAGCAGTTTTATGTCAGTTTCTGAAATGACCAACCTGTCTATCAATCCTCTTGGTGGAATCATCCCAGAAAAGGGCATAGAGCAGAGACAAGTCCTCATTCAGATGTAATTTGATGGGTGATAGACTGAACATGCCAGAATCAGAGCCCATGATCCACGTGGGCATGGTTTGAAACTGTATGGCATTGAGTACAACTCATCAAAGGTTAGTTCAGAGAAGTAATGCTTCCAATGCACTACTTTTTACTGTGCCCACACTGAAAATGGAAACCAATACATTTGTAATCCCTGCTGAACTACCTGGGTCTGGATGTGAAAGGATCTGTTTGTTTCTATTTCTTTTGTATTGAATTCTTTCACATGCTGCTTCTTTTCCAGCAACTGAATTGTTGCCTATCATTGTTCTATATGGAGTTATCACTCCATTACAGAATGGCCTACATCATGCAGCAGCACTTATGAATTCAAGGCATGATCTCATGTAATAATAGTGTAATTTAGCTCTGCTGAGTATATGACATGCAGAAGATGTTCTGCAATGGGAACAGCAAAGTACTAGGAGTTACCATACTGCTTTCTTTGGAGCAAGTGCCAGAATCAACACCTACATTTAGTCTGAGACTTATGAAAGCGGCTCTTTTGAAAGTGTCATCAGATCACTACTTTTATATTGCAGCATGCTGAAGCTCTGGGAGTATGCCAGAGCAGATGTTTGTTCAACAGTAGTAATTTCTCAAGCCAGATATTATTATTATTTTTAGACCTCTGGATGTGGAGGTTTCTGCTAGAATGCCAAACAATCCAGATTGTTGGGCCTATGCAATAATACAAAACAAAAGCAAGAATACAGGATTCATCTCATTAAGAGCTATGGGGAACTTAGCCCTGGAAGATGAAAGATAGGAGAAGAAAATAGAACTGTGCTACTGAAAAGGAGCTGGGAATTCCTTGGGTGTTGATGTTCATTGAACCAGACATCCGTGGTTAATTTTCAGATTGGTGAACTTTGCTTTGAATATTCTGTACTCCATTCTCAAACCAATTTTTCAAAGATTTTCTATATTATAGATGTCAACTCTCATATTAGCAGCTAAATGCAGCTAAGACTATGGCTAAGTATTGATCTAGCTTTAATACTTTATTGCCACAGTGCAGTACAACATTGAGTGAACTGCATGTTGGCAGGAAACATACATGCAAGTGTGTAGCGTTCACCCTCAAGCAAACTAGAGATACAGAACTGAATGGGCAACTCATGAAGATGATTTGAGGGAAGACCATATTCCAGATGGATAGACTCAGTCAAGGATGCCACAGCCCTGAATCTGTGAGACCTGAGTGGGACTGATAGGATGACTTGGAGGTCTTTTAGTCATAGTGTCACCATAAGTCAAAGGACCAATGCATATTTGCCACCCTTTGGGATTTGCCAAACCCTTGGGAACGCCAGATTGGGGCAGCAGCAACCACATGCTGTGGTCCCAATCCTCCTTTTTGCTGCTCCAGAAAGATCTGGCAAATGCCGCTCCTTTTTGAGATGGCAAAAAGCCACCCTTAGAGCCATCGCCATGGCTCTTTTGCACCTCTTTGGTGCAGCGTGTGTGCACACTGCGCCAACAGGGTGCCCTGATGCCATGCGCCATGTGGTTGGGCATGCAGCATCAGGGCAGACTCAGGGTGGAGTCAGGGCAGCCGGCATGCAGTCACCCCACCCCAACTCCACCCCCAGGCCATCCCTTTAGGCCAGTCTGCATCGCCCCAAAGTTAACTTGATAGTAGTTAACAACAAACAGGTTATCTGAAGGACTGTATTCTCCAGTATGACCCTGCTTGTTTTGAAGTCTTCTGGAGAGGCCCTTGTCTCTTTCTCACCATCCTCACACCTGGTAGTAACTTGGGACAAGGCCTTTGTGGTGGCTCTGGAATTCCCTTCTAGAAAGGCTGGCACCATCTTTCCACACCCAAGTGAAGACCTCATTCAGGTAGGCCCCTGAGCATTGATTTTTGAAGGGGAAACAGACCATATATAATGGATTTTTATTTCCTGGGTTTTGTTTAACTGATTTTAATTTTAACATTATTTGACATCATTTAATTATTTTTTAACTTTTGCCTGCTGTGCATTTTTTACTATTTATGTGTTTGAATTGTTGTAAGCTGCCTTGAATCCTAAACTGGAAAAAAAGACAGGATCAGCATCAACATCAGCATCATCCCCGATGGCTATGCTGGCTGGGCAAGGGGAAGAGACCTATAACCAAATACAGGTCTGGAGCAGAGAGAGCTCTAATAAGTAGAACTGAGATGTTTTTTCATTCTCTCACTTTTTTTTTTTTAAGGAGAATATCTAACAAAGATAGCCTGACCTTCCTCTCCCTTCCTTTCCTAATACAATACACAGAAGAGTCAGACATCAACCAACCAAGCAGCTAAAGCCCCAACATTTCCCTTTCAGTTCCATCTTCAGCATGACAGTTCCTTTATTTTCCCCATCACAGGAGAAAAAAGAAATGTGCAGTCACTACTTTTGGATGATAAGATGAGTCCTTTGTGTGGTTCCATCATTATG